ATTTAATATATTCAACAGACTCAAGTGAAAGGCAGGAACAGCTGTTATCTCTTGTTAAGCAATCATATGAATGAATCACTAAGTTCAAATTTTCAAGGTTGCGAATAGGTTTTCTTAATGAATAAACTATATATTTTGTTTTCGTAATATTGATTGAAAGTTTATTACTGTAAAGCCAATTAGTAACTGCATTTATACCTATTTGTGCAGACGAGAATACGTCTTTCCACGTATCCGCAGCAAATATCAAAACAGTGTCATCTGCATATGAAATTATACGTCCCTGAGATAAAATTTTGTAAAATTATCAATATAAATTAGAAATAAGGTTGGGCCGAGTATACTCCCTTGTGGTACGCCGTGTGTTACTAGTAAATCATTGCTGGTAATATTATTCACACTAACGCATTGATATCTCTCAGAAAGATAACTTTTAAATAATTTGAGTTGAGTGCCTCTGATACCGAAATTCTCCAGTCTTTTTAATAGTATTTTTATTGATACTGTGTCGAATGCTTTCGCCAAATTTAAGAAAACTGAAATACACTTTTTTCCACTGTCTAAATACGATGACAAAAATTTGTAAGAGTATGAACGGCATGCTCTGTTGATTTGCCATGTCTAAAACAAAACTGTGTATTTGACAATAAATTATTTTTCTCCAGTTATTTTGTAAGTCTATTATTTATAATTTTCTCTAAAATTTTGGATAAAGCGGGTAATATAGAGATAGGTTTATAATTAATTACACAGGTTTTTTCACCATCTTTAAAAATAGGTCGAATTACGGACTTCTTAAGATATCTAGGGAATACACCATCATTTAAACATTGATTAAATATACAAGTTAAAGAAGGTATTAATAAATATTTAAAAAATTTAATAAATTTATTCGAGATTCCATCCCAACCAACTGAGCAGTCAGTTTTCAAATTGTCAATTAATTGTTCTACTTCACTTTCATCCGTGCCCAATAAAGCAAATGAATTTAAGTAATAGTTTGATTCTTCACCGATGTTAATATTAAAACTTTCACTAATATTATTTCCTACCTTAAAACTCTCTGCCAAACTTTTACCTACATTTACAAAATAATTATTAATAAGTTTAACAGATCTTAGCGGCGTGCTGGATATATTTAACAGTTCTCTGTTATAACCTTTGTTTTTCATATTACCTATAATATCATTAAGTACTTCCCATAGCTTCTTATTATTATTTTTAGCCATATTCACTCGCTGTTTTTCATAATTTCTCTTTACCTTTTTTAACAATGCGTTACAGTGATTACGATATCGTCGGTATATAATTTGATCACTTTCACTATCTGGAAGTCGTCTAGCCCTCTTATGTACTTTATCACGGTGACGAATACATCTAAGAAGGCCAGTCGTAATCCAAGGTTTGATGATATTTTTTGTCTTGGCAACTTTACTAATTTAGTATTAACGTCAATTACTGTTTTTATTTTATTAACTAAGTATTCAAGAGAAATATTTGGATCTTTAATATTATAAATAGCTAAAAGTCAATGTTTTACATATCCGAATCAAGTTTATCGTGATCTATTTTTCTGATAGTCGTTGTATAAAACTGTTGACGTTGTTTATTTTTCATACATAAAATTACAGGTTTGTGATCAGTGATTGAAATTTGAGGAACTAAGTGAAGGATTATTCATTTTTAGCAGAACATGATTAATACACGAACCACTTGCGTCACGTGTTACTAGAGTATGAGTGGGTAATAACCCGTGGAATGCTGTCAGTTGTAAATACTTATCCGAATTAATATCTGTTTTTCTGTTAATGTTAATATTTATATCTCCTATTATAATTATGTTTTTATGTTTCGAAAATTTCTGTAGTACACTATCCAAATAAGGAAAAAAGTTTTCTAAGTTTTTATATGACGGTGACCTATATATTGAGATTATAACAATATCATTCAATGTTGTTATGATACAATTCCCTTCTTGAAAGTGAGGCTCCTCAGTCGTGAACAAATGTTTTTCTTTAACATATATTACTAATCCGTCATTTTGGTTGTTATTAAAATTAGTGGAGCATAAATTATAACCATTAATTTTGGGTAAGTTGTCCTCATTAGCAACCAACATTCACTTAGTACAATGACATCGAAATCTATTTTTAATCTAGTCAGTAATACTTCAAAATCTGTAATATTGCAGTTAATACTTCGTATATTCTGCGTAATAATTGTGAAGTTGGATTCACTAGGTGACAAATACTTATAACAATCTTCAACGTCACAGGCTATCGATCTTGATACCGTAACTTTATTTAAGTTAATAGTGAAGCTTAGAGCGTTATTATCGCCTTTTATTTATTACTTTAAGTTTCTCTAACAAAATCTCGATATTGACCAAATATATCTTTTATTGGATAAATTGATTGAAAAATGTAACTGTAAGTTGTGTATATGAAATGAGTGAATACGATTTGTGTAATGTAAGAACTGCCAGGGGACATTCAAAACAGCCTATGATGAATGCTATAAGAGACGAGAATGGCTATATTCTGAATGATGAAGTTTTGAGTTTAAAGAGATGGAAGGAATATTTTGAAAGCGTGTTTATGAGTGAGGAGACAACGTGTGTACTAAGTGAAGTAGAAACACCGAAAGAAGAGGAAAGAGGTAGCGAGATAAGTATAGATGAAATAATGAAAGCAATGAAAAGCATGAAAGCAGGTAAGGCTGCCGGATATGATAGAGTTTCACTCGAAATGCTAAGGGCTGGAGAGGAAGTGGTGGCAGGCCTGCTGCACACCTTGTTTAATTTATGCTGGGAACTGAAGCGGGTACCGGTAGACTGGTGCAAAGCCGTGATAGTCCCAGTATATAAAGGAAGAGAGTCGCAGCGGGACTGTAAAAACTACCGTGGCATCAGCCTTCTTACCATTGTGGGAAAACTGTATGCTAAGGTACTGATTGAAAGGGTCATGAAAGAAACTGATGGAAAAATTTGGGATATGCAAGCGCGATTTAGAAAGGGAATGGGATGTACAGATCAAGTTTTTTCCATGCGCATGATCGCGGAGAAGTTTCTGGCCAAAAACCAAAAGGTTTTTTGTGCGTTCATGGACTTGAAAAAGGCCTATGACAGAGTGGATAGGGATTTGCTATGGCAAACACTGAACTCATTTGGGTTGAGCGCTGGTTTGATACAGGCATTGGAGTCTCTTTCAGCAACGGGGTCTACTCGGACTGGTTTGACATCCATAAAGGTGTCAGACAGGGCTGTGTGGCTTCCCCGTGGCTGTTCAACCTATTTATGGACAGTTGTTTGCAAAATTTGAAAGTTGAAGAATGCGGATTAAGAATGGGTGAGTTGACGGTTATCAAATGCCTTTTGTACGCCGATGATCAAGTTATTCTTGCGTCGTCGGCGGCCGAGTTGCAAATGATGGTTACATTAATGAACGGATCATTAAAAGAAAGGGGTATGAAAGTGAACGCAAGTAAGACGAAGGTTATGGTTTTTGAAAGAGAAGAAAGTAAAACGATTTGTGAAATAAGAATAGAAGGGGAGTTGATGCAAGTAGATGAGTTTGTATATTTGGGCTGCGTATTTAGCAGGGATGGGAGATATGATAAGGATATAAAACGACGAGTGAATGCGGGAAATAGAGTAAATGGGGCCTTGCACAAGTTGGGTGTGGCAGAAGAAGCACGAGAGTAGAATAAACGCAGTAGAAATTCGGTCGTTAAGGAGTATGTTAAGGCTGAATCTGAATGACAGGGTAAGAAATTGTGTAATAAGAGAAGAGTGTGGTTTGCAAGATGATTTTGTGGCCAGGATTAAGAAAGGAATGCTCCGGTGGTTTGGTCATGTGGAAAGAATGAATGAGGAAAGAGTGACAAAGAAAATTGATGGTACAGAAGTGAATGGCAGAGTCGGAAAGGGACGTCTTAGGCGAAAATTTATCGACCAAATTGACGATTTATTGAAAACGGGCCAAATTAGGAGTACCCTTAACCGACGAGCATGTATGCGTAGGTGTATGGATGTGAAGGAGGTAAGAGAGGTGTGTCAGGATCGTGCTAAACGGAAGTCTGAAGTCTCTGCCTACCCCTCTGGGTGACAGGCGTGAGTGTTTATTTATTTATATGAATATGATTTGTTATACACATGTAAGTGTAATATAAGAGTGTAATTAAGGCTGTGTGTGCATAATGTTTGATTTTTGTTTGTGTATTGTGTGTAAATTGTGACTATGTGTATAGTAGGGTATAGTGTTAGAATATACTTTATTCTTATTATGCTAGTTAAAAAGAAAAGAAAGGATGCGAAAATATCTAATCTAAAGCTTAAAACTAGTCATTCGGTCTTCCGTAGATTTTCTAGATCTGTTTCATTATTTATTCTAATTTGAGAAGAATTTTCATTCTTGCGTAAGTATACAATGCCTCTAGATGTCCAGCAGAATAAATATTTATGACTTTTTTGGAAAATTCTAGCCTGATAGAAAAGTTTTTGAGTATTTTGTGTTAACCTCTCCGTGACATATATAGGGATGTTTTTTTTGTGAGTAATTTAGATGCGAAGTATTTGATTTCTCAGTTTTTGGTTTTGTTTTATTAAATTTTTTTACTTCATGTAACATCTTTTCTTTAATAATGACTGAATTAAATTCCACTATTATCGGTCTAGTCCACGTCTTAGAATTGGTTCTATACACATCTTTTATGTCCAAATCCCGCAAATTTACATTCAAACACTCCCCTAATTTTTTAAACAGTGCTACATAGATTTTCCTTTGATTCTTCATTGTTTTTAGGTATGTTTCTTATTTCTATTCCTGAAAATCTAGACTTTCTTCCCATATTTTCTATTTTATCCTGTAGTTGTATAATATATCTATCCTGCTTTTTCCCTGCCTCTAGAACGGATATCCGTGACAGAAACTCATCATACTTGCTTGACATAGTATCGACGCTCTTTTTTAATTCATCGTTCTGTTCTTTTATACTAGAAACTATAGTTTGTAAATCTTTGAAAAATTTGCTTGTTCATTCGTATGAACTGAAAACATTTCACTCATATAAGGCATAATGTTAGGATTAACTCCGTCATGTTTCCTTTTTTTACGCTCAGTAACATTTAACGTAAGCGATAGAATATCAGGCGCCGATTCCCTGTGAAGTTTAGTCGTCCGTTCTATCGCGTCGATTGCGCGCGTCTGTGATGTCTGCGATTGTGATGTATCATCAGAGCTCATAGGCACGGGCGAAGTGGAGGGCGGTGTGCGGTTGATCGGCATTGTATAACCGGTTTTGAAATAAAAGACGCCTCAACGTTAAATTACCAGGACAATATGAGTTAGAAAGTGTGATCGCAGTATATTTGAGAACTCGTACCCCTAATGCGTACGAGTAAAATATAACCGTCTCTCTTCTTATCGTTTTGCTAACGTGTGGTGACTTATGCTGTATCCTATTTATTTGTTGATTGTAAATGTGATGGTTTTACTCACACATAATTTAGTTTGTTGAATATTAATCACTGCCGCAGATGTCACTTGCACTTCGTAAACTACCTCGGGCTTTATGCGCTCCTAATATTTTATCACTATTTTGTCACAGCATTTATTAATAAAATAAACTATAAACACGTCTTAACTCTTTGGAAGTCCGGGGGGAAAAAAGGGGGAACCTTACGAAATACAGCAGCATTATGTTCTAGTGGTTTGTCAGAGTGGTCATTCCGCGGTAAAGCTGCTGCTACTATAATATATCTGCTGCATAGCTCTACCACCTGTAAAGTAAATTAGTATTTTATCTAAGACGTATACATTTTGCTTTTATCTATCACGGGTTAATTTATCTATAGGTCGTGTATGTGCGGTTTTATCGACGGCCGTAATATTTTTATGTCTCAGACATGCAGGTTGCTTCACTAAGTTTTCTTTCACCGCCAAGCACTTGGTAGTCGCCACTTAAAATTTGCAGTTTAGAATTTCATTTGTGCTACCGGGAATCAAACCCGCGTTGCTCGCATCATGTGAAATTCGACATATTCTTCCACGACTCTGTGTCAGATTTACTTACCAGCTATGTTGGAAAGTTTATAAATTCCGTGAAACAACACAGAACACGGCTTATCTCGCTCTTTGTTCCCACCTAGTTACATTAGCTAAAACCACCCTTAAAGAAAATAATATACTGTTGAAACTTGTCGGTTGAAATTTCAGCTGATGTAGAGCTCCCCAAGCTGTCTGTAAGTACTGCGAATGGCGAAAATTACGTTTGAGTACAGATCCAAGGCTTTGTAGGCAAGAATCCTTTAAAATGTCTCAAATTATTACTACTCAAAATATCTATGTCAGTCAAATACATCATAGAAATTAGAATGACATAGCACGCAGTCCACCTCACACTCTATTCTCGATAAAGAGTAAATATTGTGTTGTAAGTTGCCACCCCTGAGGACTAAGATGAAATACGAGGTATTTAATAGGGTCGTCAGTGTTCTATACTCACTATACGAAACACTTAGTTCTTCCCTTGTCGTAACAACCCATTTGCGCTGCAGCCACAACATATGGCATCATATGCCTATAGCGTAAAAACATTACATTATCTTACATTACTCTTTTAGCCTACTTGAAAAGAACAGGAGGTTTTTTTGACAGTATGCGCTCTATTAACAATAATTTACCAAATATCGAATACCATGGTTGCTGGAAAGCACTCGAAACATGAGATATTAATATCAAGTAAATAAAACGCGAAAAAATCCGTAAACAACTAGAATAATATATTCTACATAGTGACAATACAAAAATTATCTTCTATTTTCCAACCCTTAACCTTTTAATTTTATAATTAAGAGTAGTAAATAAAAGCCCTAACTATTCAGTTTCTTCAATACCGCCTATTAAATATCACAAGGTAACCTCCTACATCATCAAGTTTCAGTGCTATCATAAAACTTAGTTCATTTGTCTTCGTTTATTCCAATATTGTTAGATTTATTACTCAGCTTCAAAGTTCAAAGTAACTTACAATGTTCTACATCCAAATAAATATAATGTTTCATTGAATGGTACCCCTTAAAGTTCTTGGAAGGGAAGACTCCTGTCGTACCTTCGTTTAATTTGTAACCTTGAATATATTTAATTTTCAGTTTATGTTTCCGTAAAAGTTTTATGTTTAAAAAAATTATAGTTTATATTGTAAGTATTGACCATTAAGTGAAAAATCGCTTGTAATTTAATTGTAAACGTGGTACGTGTTAGAACGGTGTAATACGGCTGTAGCACGAATCGGTCAGTTTAACCGGGGAAGGACCACGCTCTCCCAAAATACCTGCGTAAAATGGCGGCTTAATATGCTGAGTTTAGAGAACAAGAGACCCTTTTTACTAGAGACAAAGCATTTCACCTTAATCTTTAGGGGACAACGCATCTGCTTTTTGATTCTTAATTTAGGATAAATGGAGATATCCATGGACCACAGTATCCACATCAGGTGAACTTTGTACTCATTTGTCACTCTTATTTTATAAAATAAAAATTGAAATAGATAGATAGAATAGTTTTTATTTTAATTAATAAAGTTAATTGTCTGCGTCGCAGACAGTTAAAATAAACTCCAATATTTTATATATATATATATATATATATATATATGTTACCTGAGTCATAAATAATAGATAATATTTTATAGTACAAAAGTAAACGTTACAGCCCATATACGTCCCACAGCTGAGCATAGGCCTCCCCTCATTTCTGTGAGGGTTTTAGGGAAAGGAAATGTCCGCCGCACCACCCAAATGGTTGGCGAACTTCAATTGTCTTCGAAATATTTTTTTCTTATTTCTCAGACATGCAGGTATCCTTACGATGATTTCCTTCACCGCCGAGCACGAGGTAAATTAACACTTGAAGTTGCAATTAATAATTTCATTAGTGACGACGGAGATCAAACCCGGTTTGCTCGTGTACTGAGAAATTTACATTATACTACTCATTACCTGAGTAATTAATTATATATGAGACTTTATTGTATAACCCATAGATAATTAGCTTATAATTATTGTGTATGGATACTTTAGGTTTAAATTAAATATATGAATACTTGTACGTTATTGTATCAGAAATATACTTTTAATAGTACTAAAGAGCTTTACTTCATTTCCCTTGTTCTGAAACAGAAACAGAAACCTTTTTATTCAATGTAGATTATAACAATACTTATTGAAAGTCACTTTTTTAATTTACCACTGGTTCGCAACAAAAAAATAACTCTGTCCTGGGAAGAACCAGCAAGAAACCCAGCGGGACTATTTTTTTTTCCAATAATAGCTTACAATCATGTTTACAATTAACAACACAAGACAAATTAGAAATAGCTTGGTAGCGATCACCCTTCCCAGGGGTTATTATCATCCATAAATTCCTTAATATTATAATAATCCTTTTTATACAAACTTAGTTTAATAACATTTTTGAACTTTGTGTATGACAAATTTTGTATATTTTCTAGGATTTTGTTGTAAAAGCGTATACATCGCCCCAACAATGAATTACTGACTCGGTGCAGTCGAGTAACTGATACTACTAGCTGTGTCTGCTCCTAGTATTTACAGAATGAATATCACTTATTTTCGCAAAACTACTTTTATTTTTGTGTACGTACATTACATTTTCATAAATGTATTGAGAGGCCAGAGTTAATATATTGATTTCCTTAAATTTTTGTCTCAGTGACTCTTTTGGTTTTAAATTATATATTGCCCTAATGGCCCCCATCTGAAAAATAAATATAATTTCAGTGTCATTCGCGTATCCCCATAGCAAAACACCATACGACATAATGCTATGGAAATAACTAAAGTAAACTATTCTACCTGTTTCAATAGTGGTAAGAGTTCTTATTCTTTTTTACAGCATATGCTGCAGAACTAAGTCTGCTAGCTAGTTTTGATATACGGGGGAGCCATTGAAGCTTTGCGTCCAGTGTGATTCCAAGAAAAATGGTGATATCAACAAGACTCAGGTCCTCCCCATTTAAAATTACATTAGTATTGACATGTTTAACATTAGGAGTGACGAATTTCATACATTTAGATTTAGTTCCATTCAAATGCTAATTATTAACATTAAACCAATTGACTAAATTAGCTATAGCATTATTTATTTCGTCATAATTTAATAACTGTCGTTTTAATTTGAAAATTAATGAATTATCATCAGCAAATAATACTATATCATGGTTATCCCCTACTATGTAAGGTAAGTCATTAATATATACAAGAAACAGAAAGAGGCCGAGAATTGAGCCCTGAGGTACGCCCATTTGTACAATTGACCCGGAAGATCTCATACTATTGATGACAACTTTTTGCGTTCTGTCACTTAAATATGAAATAATTAATTTAAGAGCATCGCTTCTTACACCGTAGTGTTGAAGTTTCCTGATTAATGTTTCATGGTGAACACAATCGAAGGCTTTGGATAGGTCACAGAACACACCCAAAGCATCCTGTGAATTCTCCCATGCATTAAATATATATTTAATCAGCTCAACACCAGCATCAGATGTCGGACGACCCCTTGTGAAACCAAATTGATTTTTATGAAGTAAATTATTTACATAAATTTTTTTTTACATTTGATCAAGAATAATTTTTTCAAAAATTTTACTAAGTGTTGGCAGTACAGAAATAGGTCTAAAATTAGCGGGGTCCAATGTACTACCAGATTTAAATAAAGGTATTACTTTACTATGCTTCATTAAATCAGGAAAAATCGATACTAGTATTAAAAATAATAGATAGTTGAGGTGCGATTGTATCTACTATAGACGAATAACTTTAACAGAAATCCCCCACAGATCGGCGGTTCTCTTAATATCAATAGTCTTAAAATATTTTACAATATCTTTTGATGACACTTTATGAAATGTAAAATTCTTTGTACACTACATTTACATTTTGTTTAAGTAATGATTAGGCGACGGCAGGAGAAGAATTCAGTGACTTAGTGGTTAAGATCGGAATATCAGTAAAATATTTCTTAAAAACCATTGCAACATCCTGATCTGATTTAGTTAATGTATTGTTAAAACTTAACTGGTAGTTTGAATTGTTCTCTTCTGTCAATTCTGAATGCTATTCTGTACAATTAGAAAAAACTGATAATTGTTGTCATTCTTAACTTAAATTTACCACTGACTCGAAAAATGTCTATCCCATACTTATCCATATCCTATAGCTTCCCAAAAAACCAGCAAGAAACGCAGCGGTACATTGTTTTGG